TCACCGTTACCACTAACATTTGGTGACATTTCCATTATGCTAAACATCACTTTCTAACATGTTTAGAGATCCTGGATCTCAATCCATTTAAATGGAATCATATAGGCTACAGATACCTTCTGTATTCTTAGAGATACTTGATACAGATCAAGAGCTCAAAGGGTTGATGCTGATAGTCTTACTGTTCAATTGTGCATTGCTATGCAAACACCATAAAACTCCATTAAAGATGTCTTTTCTAGTTTCCAGAAGTTTAGGTCTAAGATGTTATGAATATTCTAGAACCTTCTAATGTTTAAAATATTCAAGTGATTAATCATAAACAGTGAGAAATATTTTTGTTTATACTTTGTGCAAAGTAGGCCAATATGTGGATTATCACTACAAAATCTGTGAAAACATATAATGAGTGGAGCAGCTGTGGTATATAAAAAACTAGCATAATGGTACGTTATTGTTGTGTAGAGTAACCATTTTCTGAGGCAACCTTTCACAAGCAAGGTAATTACATCTTTAGATACCCTTTACTTGCAGGTCTATTACACATTATATACCTTAAATCAAGATTATTTTATAGATGATACATATAGGGTTGAGTAATAATGGACCATTATGTAAAATACTGGCCTCTTTAAAAAGCTATTTAAGAATGACGTTAAAATACTTTTATCTGTTTTGTTAGTTACTATTCCATTTTTTATTGCTGTTTATTCTCAGTCTCACCTGCAGAAACTAGAAACTGAAGTCAAATGCATTGAAGCTAATAGTGAAAACTCTCATTGACTTATTAGGTACAAAACTGTGTTCTAAAGCCCAAGGGATGCAAAAATTAGCATGTCAGCTGAATGTAATCTAGAGGACTTCAGATACACCAGAAACTTAACCTAGAATGTTAATGATAGAGTCCTCCATTCCCTTCCATACTTCTAACAACTTTACACGTTTTATGCCTTTTCTCCTTCTCAGCAAAGTCTCCACTATAATTTTTGCTATGCCAAGGGTTTCCTTAACGGACAATATAAATTGCTGATCAGTTAAAACAAGAACTTTCTGCTTTTGTTTTTCTCCCTAGTAAAAACCTCACATCTCACCAAATAGTAACGTGTTTTGTTAAAGAAAAATATTGTATTTACAGTAGAAATTCAATATATTTGGATAAGAACAACAAATAATTACATTTAAGAATTGCAATCTTGAATTAAAACATTTTCTACTAGAGCAACAGACTCTAACTGTTGGTAGTTTCCTATAGTCTAAACATAAATTTAGGAAAAAGGTTTTCTGGATTAAAAACAATCAATGATAATTTGATTAACACAAACAATTTTTGCAGAAATAGTGATACCTATGAAAATAAAAGCCAAGAAAAAATAAAGTAATATAATTAAAATATCATTTATGAAGCTTGAATCTATACTAATTTATTTACTGGTATTTATAACTTTATTGTATTTACTATTATAATAATTCCCCAAGGTGCCATCATTCATTACTAGAACAAGCAAAATCGGAGATGTTTGTCATTGAGATGTTTTCTTTGTTTGGCTCCATTTCCCTGCATTAAACTTTGAATGACACAGAGGACATAAGTGAAGCACAACGTCTTGTTGAGCCAGAGTGTCAAGGACTAGCAATGGGAAGCTCTCATTTAAGATAAAGGACTTGTGGAGTTAAAAAGTATAAAAACAAAGTTTTTCATGATGACACTCCCAACCCCCCAAACACACACACACGCACACCCTCTTACAGAGTAAAACCTTGACATTTTTCCTGAGAAAGACTAGTTCTAACAAAGCAAAAACAACCAACATGGCTAGCTGATGTTCATGTTTCCCTTTCGCAGATGCTGGCCTGCCCCAGAGATATTAGCATGTTTAAGTATTTCCACAACTTGTTCCAGACATTTAAGCTCATTTTTACCAGGAAAACAGTATTACAAAACAAAAACAAAAAAAGGAGAGACAAACAATGTATGAAAAACAATGTAACCTGATACGGTGCACCACATAATTGGATAAGAACAAATGTCTGTGACATAATTAGATGAGAAGTTATGATCAAATGTGTCAGATCAATAAGCAATAATGACCGAGGCAGAAAACATCTCCATTGAGATTAATGGCTATTTGGGGGACTGTTCTAGTACTACATTCAGATCCATTAACTCCACAATGTCATTGGCAATTTAGCAGTTGCCCTATAGTTTAGTCTTTATTACAAGTGTATGGTTGTTTTTAAAGAGAATATCATTCGGATATTTTGTTTTTATTTCTGTTCTTACTCATGCAAAATGTGGTTTCATGCTACACTAAAACACAACATAATAATAATTTATATCCAATTATTTCCTTATGCACAATTTCTACTACTGAATTACCTTTCGAAGTAACTCTTTAGAAAGTAATTTTCATATGACTGAGTGCTGAGTAAATCAAATTTTGACGTTTCAAAGTGAATCTAATGCTAAGGCTAAATTTATGGAAATAATTAATCACATTCTCCATTTATTCCCCAGAGAGATACATCAATGATAAGAGCTTGTAAGCTTTCCATAAGATACCTGTTATTTGATTTTAAAACAGGACAACCTCCAGATCTTTTATTTCCCAACATGAGTCCTAAGATAGCTTAAAATGGCATCAAATTCCTTCTTCAGGTATACGCACAGTCTAAGATAGCAAAAATAGTTGTACTTGCAACTTATGTACTGTATGTCCTTTGACTCACCTTTGAGAAACTCTGAAAGATCTTTATTTTAGACAGAGAGAACAACATATTAAGATCCTATTTAATTTTGGAGACAAAACATCCACTCTTTCCTTGTTGTTTGTTAGAAATTTGGTACTTAGGAACCAGTCCAGGGCTCATGAGAATAATAAAAAGCTTTAGTCAACGCTGGATCAGCCACTTCATTTACATATTTTGTTAGAGTGGTGCTCTATTCTATGTTACAGCCACCGAGTTTTCCTTGTTGACGTTTCTTGGTATAATAGCGAAGTAGAAGAGATAAGCACTGGGACAGCTAGGACTGAGCAGAGGAAGAGCAGTAGGAACAGGTTAAAGAAGTAGGAAGGCAAATAGAGCATTAAGAAAAACTAGGTAAGGTGAGCTTACAAAAAAACAGCAGCACAGGAAGGCTGACAGGGAAAGGATCACAGGTAAAGTATCAGCTAATATGAAGGATCAATTTGCTCAGCAGCACTGGAGAAAGAGTGACAAGTGAGCCAGGAACAGATACACACACAGGTGTTTAAAGGAGCTTCATTGCTTGTGGGACAGAATTAGTTCTACCACCGAGGCTAGAGTGTTGCTGAGTAAGAGTGATGCATCCTTTCACATTGATAACGCAGCCCCCACCAGCTCTTAGTTGAGCATATTCAGATGGGAGTGATTATGAATTACTTTGATTTTTCTATTGGCTGTCTGCAAAAAAATAAGACATGATACTGATCTCCCCTAAGCATACAAAACTCTCCTAGTGATTAGACAAGAAGTTCACACAGGGAACTGGATATAAATGGAAGTTACAGGCAGGTAATTTGAAACTCAGAAGATAATCCTCAAAATTAACTCGAGTGGCAGTATTTCACCTAGTTTTGTTACAAGACTGCTAATGGACTTCACCCAGATCACTATCAAATGGAAATAAGTGAACTGACTTAAGCCATATTTGAACCAGAGCACAAGTTCTTAGCACTACTGCCTTGTGTTTTTTTTTGTTTTGTTGTTTGTTTTTTTGTTGTTGTTGTCGTTTTTACTGTACAAGCAGGTCATTGCAACAACTAAAATTTCTTGATAATAATTGGAATTGGCTGCACATTGGCAAGCTGAAAATACCCTCAAGCATGTAACATTTTCTTTAATAAGCTTAAATTAATCAACAAGTACACTGTGCATATGTAAACAAGTCAGTTAAAGGAAAGTAGTAATGTAACAGTAATATTATCACTAATTTCTACACTAAAAATAACATAGAAGTACTTCATAGTATTTCAAACCCATAGTGGCCTGTGGCAAAATTATTCTGGTTTTTAAAATGAAATGCATTAATATTGATATACTTTCTTGAAACAAATAAACTCAATCTTCTAAAGCACTAAGGCCTACCATCATTCAGTTTTTCTCAAACCAGATTAAGGACATCTACCAACTTCTCAAAGTCTGAACAACGCAATTATTGCAGTTATGCTGCAAAGTTATCACACTCTCTTATCCCATTGGTGTATCCTCTTTTTTTCTGCTAATGTAGAGACTAATGAAGGACAAAAAGGAAGAAATATGCCATAGCCAAAAAGAGAAAAAGTGCATTTAAATGGCTTTTTTTGATTTTTCAGTATACTCATTAGACTTAGCATGCATGGTCAGAATAGCAATACCAGCAAACCTTTTTTAATTGCACATTCTATTTGCCCCTATTGCATGCATTCAACCTGCAGAGAAGAAAGACATTTAAAGATTACCAAGGCAAGTTTGTAATGAAGCGGATACCTCTTTGTCTGTCCTTGCGCCAACAGCAGCAGAAGGGATACTAATTAGAGGGTGAATTATTAGCTTCCCATGGTGCACTGCAGGGGCATTAAAAATGAGCGTAGTTTGTTGCTTTCCTCTTAGATGGTTAGTTCTGGTTTAATATATTCTTGTTTCTAGGTGAGCAGCAGGGGACAGTTTTTATGATTATAATTGTTGCATAATTACTGGCCTAAGGTTGCCTATTGTTAAATAAAAATGCTGAGATACTAATGTTTTATTGAACAGTACAAGTAGATAAAATTGTAATATATTTTCCTGGACAATATAGGCTTGTTATCTGGCAGTTTGGTGACAACTCTTAGGTTGTCTTGTGGATATAGACTCTGATTTTTTTTTTTTTGCAAAGGCTAAAAATAAAATGCCTTTTTATTTTTAACTGAAATAAATTCATTTTTTTAAAAAAAGAAGCTCTGTTTTAAATTGTTCCAAAGAGAGGGCCAAAGTCTCATCTAACCCCTGTGAGGTCTTACCTGATTAGGAATGAGAAATTACCTCAGAATTAAACCTTGTAGATTTCATTTTTTTCTTCTATTACAAATATACAAACATTCTAATTTTTCTGCACATATTTTACCCTAGCAATAATCCAAAATTACTTAAAAACATAGATATGAATGACAAAAATAACTAAAGTAAAAATAAAGAAAATTAAGAAAAAATCACTACAAAGCCAAGGCAGAAAATAATATCTTCTTTGGTTCCACCTTAGGTAGCAGAAGCATTGTCTGGATTTACAGGAAGAAAGGTCAGAACAGGCTACTTTGATGTCTCATGATTTATCCAGGTGGAGATTTATCTGTCCAAGCCACCTGTTCTGCATCAAAACTCCCTTCAGAGAAGCATTCTGAAGGCTAAGGATCAGCTTCTGTCACTTGTGCCTATGTCACATTTACACAGACTTCTTCTTGAATTGTGCAAATTCTAAATGTAAGTTGTCAAACAATTATGTTAAATAAATAACGATATTTTAACCTTGTCTTGTTCTTTCTACAAAGAAGGAGCAAGACTACATAGGAGAAAAGTTATCATTTGTAAGAAAAAAAAAAAAAAAAGGAAAAAAATTACTTTAATTTTTTTCAAAAGGCAGTTAGAAATTTGCTCAGCATTGTACTAAAGCTGATAAATTTATAGTAAAGGTTACTCTTATGAGCTGTTCAATGGCAAAACTTTTGTTTTTCAAACTTAGTTCAGAAGAGTAAAACAATTAAGAAATAGCTACAAATGAAGAATAGAGTCAAGAAACAAATTAGTTTTCTTTAAGAACCTTAAACGGTCTTTCAATGCTCTTTTTCCTCTTGAGCCTGTTCTTCCTAATTACTCCTCCTTCAGACATCATAGGCCTTACTCACACACTTCCAAATTGAAGCACAGGGTCAGACCTTTAAAGATCTGGAGAAACCATCCTGTTGCCTTAGGAGTCATTCCTCCCCTTGCTGCCTTCAGTCTCTTAAGTAGTATCTCAGAAAACCCAGAGTTCCACCAGCTTATCTGAGACTTGCTATGGCTGTGAAGAACATTTTTTGGAACAAAGCAAATGATTTAAAGCATTTATTAAACTACTTTTTTTTTTTCTTCCCCCTCCCTAAACAATTACAGACTTTTAAAATGTCTTAAAAGTAAGGCAATACATTTCAAGGGAAGAAGTGAAATAAGAAACACCTTCAAGTACCACAGCAACTATCTGGAAATTTCTCTTCAAAATAATTCTCCTAGAACGGAAGATACGTCAACTCTATCCACACTAATGCCTACTATTTCAGTGCTGTTATATCTAAGAGATACATAAGCGAAGATAAGCATGGTATTATTTCCAATTTGTTAAAATAATGGTTAGCATTTTAGTGCTCAGGACTTCATATATTGTTGTAGAGTGAAAGAAAAAAAAAATACTATTGCCCATTCACAGTTGGTGTAATACGTGTCTAATAACAACCTTCCCCTACTCAAGTCATTAGTATCCTTGTTTATTTAACTTCCTCTGCCCTGACCTAGAAAATACATCAGTCATTTTCTATTTTTGCCATACAACGCTGATCTACTATGCAAGCCTATGCTGCCAGCTTTATACAATACTTGCACTGCAACGTTCTGCTGGTTGCCAATCTCAGCAAACCCCTTGGTGTTGTTGAACAATAAGAGATCACTGACCTTTCCTTCCTCTCCAATGAATGAACTCTTTAAAAGCTAGAGCCACCGTAGAGATAACAGAAACTAAGGAACTGATGGCAGGTGTCATCAGTGGAGTATTATGCTATTGTGATTGGAAGTATACTAGGCTGCTGATATATATTGTGCAAGCATCAATAAAGCAAAGAAAAAATGCCCTGTGCAGATTTGTAAACTTCATTTGAGAAGAAAGCTTTGTATTTTTATCTAATTTTGCATTTCTACTGTGGAAACTATCAGAAAATCTCATGGTTTCCCACAAAAACCTTGGTGCAACTTAGTACTGCTTATTTTCATATTTAAAAATACTCTTCAGTAACTTTAGGAAAGAAACTATATGGTGTATTCCATTTCAGAAAATGTGAATTATTCAGCATTCATATGCTACAAATAGGAATTTTTAAAAAAATCTATTTGTAGCAATCTCATTTCTCTCTTTTGGCTTCAGATTTCTTTTCATTATTTGCTTGTTTTCGGTGCAAATAACCCCATAGCAAAACATTAAATTCTGTAATGATTATATTTACCCAGCTCTGTGTAACTTTTCCTAAACAAACACAATAGGGGAAAAAAAAAATCCTTTGGCTTCACTCTATAAACTCCAGTATCAAAGCATAAAAACTTGCTATCCACTTAAAAGAGTGTGCTAATTTCAGCCTCCTCTTCAGACTCCATTCCAATAAATTGATTTTAAGTACATGCCTAATTGAGCCAGAAAGAGAAACATTTTTCAATTGCAATTACTTATTTTAAGTTTAAGCTTTCATCTCTTCCTATGATTTTCTGCTAAAGAATTTAAGTTAAAGCAATAAGCTAAACATTTCTATTCATATATTTGAACAATGAAGTTTTATCAAGACTTTCATCCAGGCCGCTTTTCCTGTGCACTGACTGGGACATCAAAAATAATAGCCTATATCAAATAACCCTTCCTAGTTCTCAGTTACATTAATATAGCTATCTATAGTTCTTTCACATGTCAATGTAATTATTGCACAAAAAGTAAACAGATGCTTTTCCAATGCATCTAGGTTTCAAAACTTGAACACAAAATATTGTTCTTTCCATGTTTTTTCCTACTTCTTTTTTTTTTTTTTTTTTTCATACAGTCCAATTCTATTCAGGTTGATCAGTTAGCTTTGTTTCTGGTTCTCACTTTTAGCTCAGCATTGTTGGCTTTGTAATAAATAAATAAATAAATAATTTTTGAGTTTGATAATGGGTTGCATTTACCATTAGAAGTCCATAAAATATATATAAGTTCTACAAATATTTTATGTTCAGAAACTGATTACATGAGCTAAATTATGACTTAGATCATATAGCACAAAGGAAACAAGAAACCTCTATCAAACACCTCCAGAAGGAATTAGCATCTTTGATTTATTTGCATAAAGTGGCAACATAGCTACTCACTCTGCCTGCAACTGAGGTATAAATAGTGATGAGTGTCTCTACTTGTCAGGCAGACACAACACAGAAGGAGAGGTTTGATGCAAAGCACTCAAAAATTTTGCAACCTCACCCCCAAAACCAAAGATACTAGAAGAAACTGTTGCTCTTTCTCCTAGGTTGTGATAAAGATCAGGCTGTACTGTTCAGTTACTTGAATTATTCATAAAGCCATCTAGGAGAACAACAATTCACAATCTGTAACACAGTTTTAAGAGGTATTTAGGTTTTTAAATCAATGGCCCCAGAGATGCAAGCAACTCTTATCAGCTTTCATTGTGTCAAGCCTGTGGTTTTGTTTTGTTTTTCCCCTCCTGTCTGCATCACTAGTTATTTATAAATCTACCGTGAAGACCCCAGGATGAACCAACAGGATTCATCCACATAGATTACACTGAGGTACATGAACCAATCTCCTAAACTGGATATTGAACAGATACTGAATCTTGGCTTTTTATCAATTTAAGTAAAACCCAATTGTGTGTGTGTCATAATTCATTTTAAAATGAATCAGGAGAATATTAATATTCTTAAATATTAAAATTATATTAAAATATTAAGAACCCATGCAGTGTTTTGTCCAGAAAGACTGCAGTGATCTTCCGAAAAGAAATGCTTTTATTCCCTGGTACTGACAAACATCTCTGTTACTAGTAATTCAACCAGCATTGGAAAGAGCCTTGCATTGATACTGTTAATAACTATTTGCATGCATAGGCTGCTTTTTATAAGTATAATGACAACTGCATTTGTGCTCATGAATTCTATGAAAGGAAAGACCAATCTTTGTCGCAGCAAGACCAAATAGGATTGGGCGGCACCTTAAAGGTCTCATTGTGCAAGCCTCACTGGATTTGCTTTCATCATATTATTTAAAAGAGAAGGGATTGCCCAAAGCAAGGGTAATCAAGACCTAAAGAGTGACTGCTTAAGCAAAATGACAGATGAATATAACCACTGTAAAAGTGAGACCACAGCACTAAGGAAAACTCCATTTCAAATCAGAAAGAAGAGAAAATATCTTCCAATGCTTTCTTTTTACAATGCTATGAGACATCTTGGATGAAATCTGATTGTCCATTAACCTAAAGTCTGGAATGGGAAAAAAGATTTCGTTTCCTAAGCTGAATTTACCTTGTTATCACCCTCTCTATAAAATACGGAAAAACGTATAAAATACGGAAAATCAACTCTGTGGTTAGCTGCACAGCATGTTAGATAAATAGCTTGAACCTCTTCCCCAAACATACATACAGTGGGAATTTTCCTAACAAAAACAGCAAAACCACACAATTCTATATAGTGTTTTAAGTGGTAGCAATGATATTAAAAAGAGTTGAATGTAATGTAAGCTGGGACAATTTCCAAGGAGATAAATAGAGATACCATAATGTAAAAGGTGTTTGCTTCACAATGGGGAAGAATCGGCAGGGGCTGGGGAGGAGGCACACAGAGAAATGCTGCAGGTTTATTTCTGGATCTCAGTAACAAAGGCCTGACAAGAAATGGCTTAATAAATTAGCTGTTCTGATAAGAAAGAATAAAAAGAGGAATATAGGCAGTGAGTAAATCTTACAAGATTCTGGGAACCCTGTACTTGTCTAGCATCAGACAGACCCTAGATGGATTTTTCCATGGCACACTGAACAGCCCCTGTCTGTGGAGAGGAGCTTCTCCTTTTGGGTCAATACAGCTATTATATGATTTTTCTTACAAGAAAAGAATTCTATTCATTATTTCTACCACCACACAGAAAAGAAGTTTACATGAGACTTCTTGCTGCACTTTCAGACAAAGGCAAGGACACCAAGGTAGTGCAGTGGCAGAAGCAAGGAGGAGCTGCTGCAGGTTTCTCCATCACGCTGAGCTGCTGAGGTTATTCTACAGCCAAGGGATATGTGCTGGTGGCACAGCACAGCTTTGGGGTTACTGAGAGTAACCGTACTGTGGATTACCAGCTCCTCAGTGTCTACAGGGCTCCTGGTCAGGAGCAATACAGTGTTACAGAAAAAAAAAAAAAAAAAAGAACAAGAGCCTTTTTCTACC